GTTATAGCTCTGAAAGAGTGGTGTCAAAACGGGCGTCGGTAGTTCAACAGTTCAGTGCGCGCCCCACATGGAGCGAAATCTAAGTTCGAATCCCAGCTGACTCAAATGTCTCTGCACACAACTCTACATTAATGGGGTCATTGTAACATCATACCACCACAAAAGGCGGTCAAATAAAATCAGCTCGGATTGGTTATTGAAATTCAGTATCTGTCAGCATAGGTGGGTTCAATGTCGATAGTGACTGCCCATGCCTGGCTGTAGACGGTTGGCTGTTGGCAGATAACACGTTGCAGCGTAGAAAGAGTGGTGTGCAAAACAGACATCGGTAGTGCAACGGTTTAGCACGCGCTCTCGAAGAGAGTAAAATCTGGGTTCGAATCCCAGCCGACGGAAATGCTTTTGTATGCCACTCTACATTAATGGATTTAATTACTAAACTCTCAAAAATTGTTCAAAACTTATTTTCTAAGGCAGTTGACTAGAAAGACTCTACATTTCTAACAGTGATAACGCGATATCACCTGCTATCACCATAACGTCTCACCATCACTGCTATAAAATAGAGATCAGTGTCGGGCGTGTAGCACTGATGACGTAATGCCTAGCTAAGTTTGGCCAACAACAAGACCAGGATGACTGCACAACGACGCCCTGACGGGACACTTACGGTTTCCAAAGAAAAAACCACTTCTATTCGGATCTCTTCGCTAGCCATGTCTTCTTACCGTCATATAAATTGAAAGAGGATGAATAGTCGTTCCATCGGTTCTCCCTTTCAAATTCCGACATGCTACATCGCCGGTGAAGAATACAATAACACTTGGTCAAGAGAGGATTAGAATTAGACCAGAACACCTGAAGAACCTACGCCAGTTCTCATAAGCGCTCTGGCTCGGCTGTTTACTCACTACCTGTCATAATGCAGGTTTCCCATTCAATGGAAAACCAGCAAGATCGTGTTGTTGGTCATAACGGGGAACCTTTACGACATAGGCAATTGTCGCCCAACCTGCTTAGTGTCTGCTGTTTATAAACTCACATGAGTCATCCTAAATAGGATAAACTGGAAAAAAGGAGGAAGGACAGTGATGCGAACAAGCAGGGTTCCGAAAAGGATTTAGTACTACAGACCACGCTCACACAATCACAAAACTCACTGAAGTTTCACGGGAGTACAAACTACCGCTCCGTTTCACTTTCATCGATTTGAATAAAGCCTTTGCTTCAGTGGAAACAGAAGTGATCATAGAGGCTCTGGATAACCAGGGTGTCCCTACTCGGTGCATAACGATTCATTGTGAGCTATATTGACAAATTCACAATCAAGACATGGCCATTTTAAACGATCTTAGTATCGACTTAAGAAGAGGGGTTTGACCAGGCGATACGTCTCGCCAAACTTATACTGCCACCCTTCAAAATTAAAGGTCCACGATTAAATCATCTTCATTTCGTTGATGATATTGTCCTTATAGCACCAAGTATCAGCCAGGAGATATGAAGGTTAACAGAATTCGACAACACCTATTGAAATGTTGGTCTTCGACTGAATCTAACGAAAACGATATCTGTGAGGAATGGATGGGTTGCGAAATCCCCATTGCTGCTCAATGAAACAAACGTCCCCGAATGCTTCGGTTACGTCTAACTTGTTCGTGGAATCAACATAATGAATGACTTAGCTTTAAGGATGAGAACGAGGATAAGAACGGTTTGGGTAGCGTTCTAAAGCATCGAGGTCATCTAAAAAAAAAACCTCGGAACAGCTTATCAAGAAAAAAACCATTGAACAAAGGTGAATCATTGCTATCATAAAAGGTTAAAGATAACCGAGTGAAATATGACTCAATACAAATAAAATGACATGGAAAAATTCGTATTGATTCGCCTTATAATTTTTCTGCACGCATGCAGAATTTCTTCAAATTCGGGATCGGTTTGCAGTGATTAATGACTCCTATTGTTGAGTACATGAGCGCATGTGGCGCAGTGGTTAGAGGTGCCCTGCGTCGCACACGAGGTCAATGGTTCGATCTCGCGCTCATGGACCACCAAGCCATCCATCCCTCCGGGGTCGGTAAATTGGTACCAGACAGGTCTCAGACTTGTCTGGGAGGATAAGCAGCACTGACTCGGTTCAGCGGGAGGCCACCGCGAGTCATTGTAAAGGCCAGATATGCATTCAATCACCTCAGACGAAGTTAGAAATTGAAGTCGAATGCATGGCGCATCCCTAAGGGATTGATCAACGCCGAGAGCTTTATCCTTTATCCTTTTATTGTTGAGTACAAGTGGATATATGAAGATATCATCTACAAAACAACAGAAGAAAAGGTCATCTAGAACTATGTTGAAGTTTATACTTTATACTTTATACTCTATACCACTTATACCTTATTATAGACATTCGTCAGACTACGATGTGTACCCGCTCGGTCGTACAAATAATTTAAGGTCTTTTTTCACGGGGCAGCGCTTTTCTCCAAAATTTTTTGCAACCGTTCAGTATCACGAGACAGGTAGATACTAGAGCTGTACTCCCTTTATAGAAACGCCTTCGAGTGCGACCTGTCATTCCGCTGGCCGTCGAGTTACTCAGCAACACCGGTAGAACTTTCGTTTTTCTCTATTACGTGCAGCTGTAGCCCAGTGGGTCCTTCTTGCTCTTGGAATTAGTTGAGAAGCATATTTTTCCTCCAGGCCTTTCGTGAAGAAAGCAGACCATCGTGTAAGAGGTTTTCCTGTAAAGTCCTTGACTTCTCAGGATCCTCTCGTCAATCGGTTTGTCGTTGAAGAGTATTACGTATCCAGCAGACCTTATCATCGATAGTCTGACGTCTGGAACGGCATTTTTGATCTTCGATTGTTGACGTAGGTTAGACCTTTGTATTCTTTCTATCAGTTGCAAGATACGGAATACTCTCAGCATCAACCTTTCTTGGCTTTCAACAATGCTGAGTAATCTCTCATCCTGCTTACGCAGCGGCCAAATTTCTGCTGCATGCGTTAGGGCAGGGATTATCGTTGAGTCGAAAAGGTGGGCACGAAGTCGGATGTTCTTCGTCCTTTTCACTAGGCCTTGATGCTTTGAACCTCTGGAGCTAGGTCGTTCAATATGTTCACTTTACGACCTAGACTAGACTTCTCTGGAGCATTAAAGGTTCATTTTGCTGAGGTGAAGGGGCACCCAAAACCCATCCATTCATAAACGTTGTTTTCGTTTGACTTATGCCGAGACTAACTTGACTAAAAAGAAGTGATTAGAACTGCATGATTTTGGTTTCGCTCATCTGCGCATTTCCTCGCAAATATTATGATATACAATTTGCTTGCATCTGCTTTACAATGAAGCTGTCTTGGTAACTCATTTGTTTTTCGTACCCGAGTGGCGCGAAGGGAAATGCTAGTGAAGCAGCGCATAAGATCAGTGTAGCTCAGGGTGATGATACGGTTACAGAAAGGATGACTAGGAAATAGTTTCGCAAGGTTCAAAGATGGAAAGAACAGTCTGGAAGATCAGTCGCCTTCGGATCCTCCACAGAAAGCCCCATTGAATTCGAGCTCCTGTTCATTAGCATTTTCCCCTCACCTGCTATGCGTGCATGAGTAGCTAGCGAAATTGTTCCTACGACTGCTCCATCTCAAAGCAAGCATTAACAAGTTGTATACTAAAATGTTCTCATAAAGTGCACAATTGAACGTTACCAAATCACACAATTTTAACTACTTCTTTTCGTTGAATTTGATGTCTGTTGCTTTAGTGCCAAAATTATGGAACGACCTAACAGAAGTTATTCGTTACTCAGGTGCTAAGATGTACAAGATGAATAACGGAAATGAGAACATTAGAAATGGATCGGAGACCGCCAATGCGCCGCGGAAAGAAGAAGATCAGATCGTCGAGGTATAGTATTTCCCAATGATGTGACTTTTCGTACTTCAACTGTTATGCATATTTGAATTGCATGAGGATGTTCGGCGTGTTTTCTTTGTGATACATGTGTGTTTTCGACATTTCGGCGGTCAATGAATATTATCGCGTGGTCCGATACAAATCTGATGCCTGTATGGCGAACAGAGATTTCACAGAATATAATCATTACTAGCGATGGAATATCATTGAGCTTTTACAGAGGTTTTTTTTCAAGAAATAAACGTCTGTGTGCAGTAAAAACCATCATATTTGCTTCCATCTTTGCGTTAAAGGGCATTTTTCAGTTCTCGTTTCGAGCGTTATCCTAAGACCACTCTCAAATTTCAATGTGCTTGATAATCACTTTTGAGCCACGCATGTGATCTCTTATCTATAAGGCTGACTTATAGATCCCGATACACGTGTTTCAATGCTGAAAGTCCCATCACTCGGGCGGTACTTTGCCAGTCCTCTGTGGGTGCTCCAGTCCCTAGACTAGGAGTTCGCGACGACGAACATTTTAGACTGTAAGTCCATTGAAATTATTACTGAACTGACAGTTTTGTACACTCGATTGCTCTTGAATACTATATTCAATATATCATATCCTTGGTTTCGAGTGTTTTCTCAAGACCACGGTGTATCGGGCTCTAAGTCAGTCCCATAGATAAGAGACCCAATGCGTGACTCAAAAACGATTATCAGGGATTTTTCAATTTCAAATCCAAAAAAAGAAGGTTTTGAGCCTAAAACGAGGTTGGTACGCCAGGGCCATACACCGCTGTTTCGGAGGTTCGTCCTCCTCGTCAGTGACCCCCGCCCCACATTAAGCCCTGCATTGTAGCAAGCAGGGAGGCGTATGTGGTATGTGGTGATGGAATAGTGTACAATACACTGGTCCATCACCATCAGTCGATGGTTTCGGCTGGTAGTCCAAAACTAATCCATTAAATCGGGTCACTGACGAGTAGGACGAACCTACGAAACACCGGTGAATGGCCCTGGCGTACCAACCTCGTTTTAGGCTAAAAACATTTTTTCTGGATTCGATTTTGAATGTTTATTACGAGGTTTTAGAAACAGTTGATTTAATGGATTTTCAATTGTTTTTGAACACGCTTTTTGTTTTATGTGTAGTCGTTTGATGAACTGAGAAGTGGTAGATCTTGACATTGAGCTTGTTATTTGGAAATGCCTTAATAGCATGCTCTACTAGCGAGAATAAGATTGCGTTCTACTCCTGAAGTCTTTTTCAACCAAACTTTGCCGTCACGAAACGATAGGATGCTGGTGGGAAAACTTTTATGAACGTATATTCAGTAAAAAGAGCACCCAATTGTCCTAAAAATTACTGTTTTGAAAGATGAAAGCAGCACGCTTAGGATAAGAAGCTTCCCAAGTCTTTATCCAAGGCATAGTTCAGATGTATCATTTGGTTTGTTGCAAGAGCAGATTGTGTACACTTACGTTGCACACAAA